GGCCTCTGTACCTGTCTGTCTATCTATTCCGGCTTCTGCGTATATCTATCTATCTATCTATCTATCTATCTATCTATCTATCTATCTATCTATCTATCTATCTATTCAGGCCTCTATATCTGTCTGTCTATCTATTCCTATCTATCTATCTATCTATCTATCTATCTATCTATCTATATCTATCTATCTATCTATCTATCTATCTATCTATCTATCTATCTATCTCTGCTCATCTATCTATCTATCTATTCCGGCCCATCTGTACCTATCTGTCTATCTATTCCGGCTCTATCTATCTATCTATCTATCTATCTATCTATCTATCTATCTATCTATCTATCTATCTATCTATCTATCTATCTATATCTGTCTGTCTATCTATTCAGGCCTCTATATCTATCTATCTATCTATTATCTATCCTCTGCGTATCTATCTATCTATCTATTCTATCTATTCATCTATCTATCTATCTATCTATCTATCTATCTATCTATCTATCTATCTCCGGCTTCTATCTATCTTCTATCTCCTATTCCGGCCTCTGTACCTGTCTGTCTATCTATTCCGGCTTCTGCGTATATCTATCTATCTATCTATTCAGGCCTCTATATCTGTCTGTCTATCTATTCCGGCCTCTGCGTCTATCTATCTATCTATCTATCTATCTATCTATCTATCTATCTATCTATCCCGGCCTCTGCTTCTATCTATCTATCTATCTATCTATCTATCTATCTATCTATCTATCTATCTATCTATTTATTACAGCCTTTACTCATATCTATCGATCTATCTATCTATCTGCCGTCTTGATAAAATCATCAAAACTCATTTCTAAACTCATTTTTTGTGTTTTAACATTCAAAATTCATGTAAATATATATATATATATATATATATATATATATATATATATATGATTAATTATTTAATGAACAACAGACACTTTACGGTACCATGACAATATCACCATAAGGACCCTCACTTCCAACAAAAAATGGAAAAATTTACACCGGATTACTCACTCAAAAATATTCCCTACCCTTCTGTCGAATCTTTCATCATATCGTTGAGGGAAAAATTATTGACCTCATCAAACGGATGAGATGGAAAATTTATTTCCATTTTAATCCCCATAATAAACCCACAAACCTTAATTACAATTTTCACTTAAAATCCCAAAATACACCTCCCTGCAACAAATTATTGGAACCTTTTGAAAAGGACTTAATTGATCTAATCAACGTAATATCTTTTAGAAAGAAATACAACTCATTCCAATCCAATCTTAAAAAGGACGTTACTAACATCAAAAAATCTAAAAAACTATGGATCATGGCTGATAAATCCAAGAACATTTACAAAATTAATCCATAGGAATATAATCATCTAATTCTAAATAAAGTATCTAACTCTTATAAAAAAGATAATAACTCCAAATACCTATCCTCCATACATAGAGAAACCGCTAAATTCGCATTTAAACATAATATTGCTGATAGAATGGACACTACTCACTTAAAAGATGCCTACCTACTTTTTAAAGACCATAAACCTAACTTTCAAAATAATATACATTCCAGACTTATAAATCCCTCTAAATCAGAATTAGGGTTAATCTCCAGAAATATTCTTAAAAGAATAAACGCATCTATATTAGAAAATTATCCCTTAAACTTTTAGAAAGATTCATCTGACGCAATTAACTGGTTCAAAATTCTAAAATCTAAAAAGAAAGCCACTTTTATTCAATTAGACATTATTGAATTTTACCCCTCCATCTCTAAAGATTTATTGAAAAATAGCTTACAATTTGCTAAATTATACTGCCATCACTGACGAGGAAATAAATATAATAATGGATTCCAGGCAATCTGTGCTGAAACTTAATGACAATATTTCGGTTAAAAGTAATGAAGACAATTTCGACGTCCCAATGGGAGCATTTGATTCTGCTAAAATAGCAGACCTAATAGGAAGTTACATTTTAGATTTTCTAAGCAGATTCCTTAACCCACAAAATGTAGGGCTTTAGGGATGGTGGTCTCATTGTTATACTTAACTCTAATGGACCTCTAACATCCCAATTACAGAAGAAAGTAATTAAGACATTCAAATATATAGGCTTTAAAATAGAAATATCATCTAACCTGAAAATTGTAAATTTTCTAGATGTAACATTTGATCTCGAAAATAACATTTATAAACCATTCCAAAAGGAGAACCAATCGCCCATATACATTAATATCGACTCAAACCATCCTATAGCAATTATAAAACAGATCCCTAACACTGTAAATACTAGAATAAATAAACTATCCTCAAATGAAAGTATCTTTGATCACAATGAATCAACATACGATCAAGCCCTATTAAAAAGTAGATTCAAACAAACACTCACTTATATAGACAAATCTATAAGCAACACATCTTCTAAATCTAAAAATAGAAATAGGAAAATTATATGGTTCAACCCACCATATTGTAAGCTTTCGAACA